TTTGGGCCTTTTGATGAATTGGGATCCTTAATTGTAATAGCTCAGCTAAATGATACTTAATAAATTATGAAAATAGAAAAGGGTACATAAATGGGGTAGTTCTTGAATGATAGTTGTAGTAAATAAAAATGAAAAATGATAGTACTTGTGTTTTGATTAATGCTTAGTAAATGCAGATATTTACTTTGATGAGTATATATATGTGTGTGTTTTCTTGTTTGTTGATAGATGTAGAGTGAGTGCAAAGTAAGGAAAGATTGGGTAAATGATGTTGAAATTTACATTAACTACCATAGAAATTTAGTGTTAGTGCTCTGCTAAATTTTCATTTGAATTTTTGGGCATTTTGTTTTAAGTCTTGATCAGTTGATTAATATCAGCAACACGCGTTTGTCATAGTGTTGGCGAATCGGTGGAAAATTTGCCTCGATCGAAAGAGAAAGAATAAAGAAAAGAAAAATAGTAATAACGTTAGGTGCCGGACTAAGCGTTGAGGTGACTCGATTGGCGCCTAGCGCTTTATTTTTCGATTTTTCAATTCACTTTTGTCTTTGTTCTTTCTAAGAAGTATGAACAATTGAAATGCAGTATAATGCGAATAATTCAAATAAGTGTTTTTTTTTTTCACCAAAAGAATCTTATACCGAAAAAACGATTCCTCAATATAAATTGCTATTACTAGGCATTTACTATTGCTGGTACCGTATTTTTTTTTTTTTTCCAATGTTATCGTTCATCACGCCTTTTTGTCATGAAGTATGTACGTGTGCTCCACATCGACAAATAATATCGCGAATCTGCAATAATTATAAAAGTATAATTCCTAGTTTCTATGTAATGATTTTCATCGAATTGTGCCTTGTGCTCATTTGTTTTGTGTTAAGATCGATAAAAAATGTTAACTATCATCGTTTGGAAGTTAAGCTATTCCATCCAAGTTCCTTTTTACCATGCATTATATGTCATATATGTTATTGAAGTTATTTATGTTTGTCAATTAGGAAACATACATAAGAGGCAAATTTTCTTTTAATGGAATGAATTTTTACAGGGCTACTCCGTTGTGGGAAGAGCTGTCGACTTAGATGGACAAACTATCTTCGACCTGACATAAAACGCGGTCCTTTTACTCCCGAGGAAGAGAACACAATTATTCAATTGCACAAGTCGCTTGGTAACAAGTAAATTAAATAACTTCCTCTGTATTTCAATTAAAATTTGTAATAATTCCCTCGTTTATGGTCTCGTTTATCAAAAGATGCCATTTTTTCCAACACTTCTTAATAAAATTGTGATTTTTTTTCATTTAAAAGAAGAGTTATGTTTGTTGTTGTTTCCTTATAAATCTTGAAGTAATGGAGTGTTGCTTCTAAATTTTCCCATTCTGGTTCGGTTTGATTTTCATGCATGAAGATAGTTTTATTCGTCAAATGGCCGTGATTTTTTACATTATTAATTTCAACTTTCGATTTCTATTTATCGACTTCCATGAATTTCCAATTGCTCGACTACGCTTCTACTAAAGTTCCAAACTTTTTTTCTTTATTTTCATTTTTAAGTATTCGAAACATTACTTCTCGTGCCACGTGTCTTTGAATTATTCGTCCAGGTGGGCCGCCATAGCCTCCCACTTACCGGGAAGAACAGATAACGATGTCAAAAACTTCTGGAACTCCCATTTGCGAAAGCGCTTTAGCAACCAATCAGCTCTCGACCCGAAACCAAAACCGAAACCGAACTCTCCCGTGACCCGCCACATGGCGCAATGGGAGAGCATCCGCCTCGAGGCCGAGTCCCGCCTCTTGTCCAAACCGGGGCCACAGCAAGGCGGTTATTACCTAAACCTATGGAACTCAGAAATCGGGACTTCCTTCCGTAGTAATAAAGTCAACGAGCTCGGACGAGCAAACTCCTCCCCCCAGAATTCGTCTGTCACGAAAGTCGAGTCTTGCAGGAAAAGTGAGGCCAATGGGGACACGCACAGCAAAAACGAGGGTGATGACATGGCGACGGCTCGTTCGGACATGACTTCGAAATCGTACGAGGATCATCAGTTGATGCATGACGATGACTCGTCGGATGGTATGATGAAATTGCTGCTCGATTTTCCATTGGTGGACGATGTTGACCTGGCGTTTTTCCAGGGAGCCGACGTGTAGTTTCGGTTTATGTCGGTTAGTTTTCTCTTCAGCATTATAAATAGCTAAGAGCAGGAGAAAGAAAGAGAGAGAAAGAAAATAGAAAGTGAAGCTTTTTTCTTTGTTTTGTTTTGGATCTAACAACTACTAAGCTATAAGTGTCAGCTGCCAAATGTTGTTTTGTAACTTTTTATATACTAAAACTCTCTTTCTGTTTATGTACTGTAAGTAGCCATGTTCTTCTTCTTTAATTAACTCTTCGAAGAATTTTCAATTAATCTCTGCAGAAATTCTTCGATTAATCTCTGCATATTCGTCAGGTGGATCGATCGATTTCAGACATTTGTGTTCAAAATGTTTCTGCAATTTTATCTCAAAAATCCCTTCAAAACCTGATATTTTTTGTAATAGCAAGTAGAATAATATTAACAAGTGTACTACATAATGTTTTTCTCTCTACAAACAAATAACACCACCAACTTTGCAGTTTTCAGTTTTCACACAACAAATAACAAATGAGCAAAACAAAAAAAATTATCCTAACACCAAATCACCACAAACTCTCACAAATACATATGAAACAATAAATACAACATCCAGATACAAATGTAATAATGAAAAATGTACAAATTTTGGAACTTCAATTCGAGCCGATTTCAGAAGCAGCCGAGCAGTTTCTTGGGAGCAGTCCCTGTGGCTCGGTATTTTGCAGCTGTTTCTTCTGCTTTGAGAAGATCTTCACCTCGTTTGGCTTCGATTATTGCCCTTTTTTCTTCGGCTTCCTTGTGAATGAGAGCAATTTTGTTCTTCATCGCCTCGATATATTTAGCTTTCTTTTTTTCCAGATTCTCCTATATACGAATCGAGTAAACATACGTGTATAAGATAATCATTAACAATATGCCAAGCGCGCATTTTTTTTTACATTTGGGCACTCTTCTAAATTGACATTTGAAAGAATAAAAGGATCAAAACAAGTCCTTTGTGTAGCCAAGGGAATATTTTTGCTGTCAAAGTTTGTAACTTTAAGCAAAAGCGATGCATAAGGAACATAATTCGAATCGATAATTCAAAATAAGATCAAATATGCAAAAAGCCGTAAAATTGTTCACCTCGATCTTTTTAAGCTCAGCCTCTAGACTCGCTTTCTTGCTATTCTCCCAAGCTCCAATAGCAGATAATTCCTTTTGGGCCCTGTAAATTATTGACTGTAAGCAATTAACTACACACCAGCATCCTTCGAAATTGCACTATGCAAGTAAATAGTCCATTTTTTTTATTCTTGTTTCACTAAGCATGATGATAATACATTTATGAACCAATAATGTATTGAAAAGACACAAAATTACCAAAATTTCAGACAAATCTGTGATTAAAAGTCATATATGAATAACAAAGTACATGAATCATTTGAGAACTCATATAATTATACTTTTAATACGCTCGATGAGGAACGGATTCGTTTAAATAACACTTCTCCCCCTTCATTCTTCGAAAAATGTCAACACAACACAAGGTGGATTATATCATATACAAGAAATGCTATACTTGTTTTCAGCTTTACACTTCTCACTTTCCTCCCATGCTCTGACCAGAGAGAGTCTTTTCTCGGTCGCCACACGAGCCAAAACAGCATCTACCAAAGCAATGAATAATCATCTGAGTAATTTTTTGATTTCTATATATATAATACAGATTGTGAGAGTGGAGTACCTCTGTTGATAGAGCCCCCCTCTGATTTTTTCTCCTCAGAAGCTGCTGCTGGCTCTGTTTGAAACAGAAACCCAGAAAACAAAATCAAAAGTTGGGATAAGCTGTAAATTTATTAGTTTGATAACATTCAAGAAACAAGATGAAGGTAAACTAACGGTTTTGCTCCACTATACAGCCAACTGTTGGCTTCATAGCAAAACCGGGTAAACTAAATTAAACTCAATTATTCTTTTTTCTTTTTTTTTTTCAAATTTTATGTGAAGTGATTGATTGAAGTAGTGAACTGCAGATCTTGAGATTCAATTTTAAATTTTGGTTCAAGGGTTTCTTTCATATCAAAAGCAGTCTTTTATGAGCTTTATTTCACTAAAATTTAAAACTTAACACACACACACACACACACACACACACAGAGTGATACTAAAGTTTCCAGTTTTCACCCAAGAACAGATCTTTATTGGCCAAACAAGTTCAAAAACACATGTAACAACTTACCACATACACAAATAAACCCTCAAAATCATCAGAAAAAAACAAGCAAAAAAATAAAAAATAAAAAAAAAATCAGAGAAACAAAAATTTCAAAAAAGGGGTGTATTTTACTTTCAACCGTGACAAGGGCTTTGCAGTCATCAGCTTTCTCCTCAGTGGGAGGCGGCGGAGTCACGGTTTTCTCCTCGGTCACGTCCTTCGGGGCCTCCACCGGCTCAGCCTCCGCCGCCGGCGGAGCCTCCAGCTCCGGCTCCGGCTTGGACTGCGGCACGGCCTTCTTGGGCTCTGCCTCCGCCATCACTTCAGAAAACTTAGCTATTTTTGCTTTTAAAATGAGATGAAATAAAAAGAAAAAAAAAAAGAAAAGCAGTTATATAAAGCCAACAGAAGAAGGTGGAAGGTTTATTAGAGGTCTATGGAGTCATAAATTGGAACTTGTGGAGGGGGGAGAGAGAGAGAGAGAAAGAGATGAGAGAGAAAGTTGGTTGATTGGTACAGATAATGGCGGATTTTTTGACCTATTGTGAGCTGGCACACCATGACGACGCCATAGCCCACAGGTTATATAAAGCTTTGAGAAATTTTGCAGTAAAATTGTTTGTTTGCAGGCAAAATCTGCTTAACAAGAGTAGTAAAAATTATTTGAACAATTAAACTTAATTGGGCTTTGACTCAATGAGTTTTGATGTGGGACATCGGAAGACTCGTTTTATGGAGTCATTCACAGTTTACTCGTTTTATGGAGTCATTCACAGCTCACAAATAGTGTATTGATATGTGTCCTACAATAAATGCACTTTGAATAGGTGTAAATACATAAAGTGATGAATGACTCCATAAGAAAACCATCCGATGACTCTATAGAATTTTTGTTGACTTCAATACTCGTACTTTTTTAATTTAAATAGATTATATCTCGTGATTCCTTTCACTTTACGAATCTAGCTCGTAAAATGAGGGGGAGACTAGTTGTTTTTAAAGACACATAATACATAATAACAAAATTATAAATAAGCATACATACATTTATAGTTATTTTTATAAATTTTCATAGTTCGATAGTCACTTTTTAAAAATTGTTCTCATATGTTCAAAAGATGAATGAATGTTTAATTTTTTCTTCCAAACCTAATAAAAAGGAGGGGTTAGATGTATTTTCACTAAAATTAAAATTTCTTTTCTCATATTTTTATGTCTTTTTTTATGCTTAACATGATATTTTTTATTTTTTTTATTTTAATTAGAACTAATATATAAGAATTTTCTTTCCAGCGTGGGCCTAGGCCCACACTGGTTTCCATTCAGCTACGCCCCGACTTTACCAATAATAATTAAGTGGATAATGCATAAAAGTTAAAACAAATTCGAATATTAGCTAGTATAATCGTTAAAGAGGTTGATTCGTGGTTTTTTTCTTTTTATAATAAGAGTTGACATTTTTATTATCAAATTATATAATTTTATTTATTTTTCAGTTAGATTTTTTAATCTAAAAATATGTATATGTATTAAAACAAAATAATTGGTTAATTGATGATACTACAATGTTATTGTCTAGATAACTAGTATTTAATTTTTGTTTATATTTATTAATTAGACATGTACTTCTATCATATAAAAATTATTACTTTTTCTTAAGTTATTTTTATCATTCAAAATTGATTGATATTTAAATTTTATTTTAACCATGCAACGTTTAAAATAATTTATATATTTGTGGCATATATTAAGAAAATTAACATAAATAAATAAAATTATTGGTTTTTTTTTATTTTTAGAAAAAAATATGTGTCAATCATACTTTTCTTCCAACAATGCAACTAAATATAGCGGTTATAGCTCTGAATGTGTCAATCAACTTTAAGTTCCAAACATTAGCCGTTACACATTTGAATATTTTGCTACCAAATTTAGAATTACTAACTGATCCTAAAATAAATAATAAAAATATATATATTAAGGTATAACGATTTTAGCAGATTAGTGAGTAATTAATTAAAAAATGTAACTTCTTTTGACGAAAATGAAAATAGGTTTTATAAAAAGTTTTATTAAATGTATCAGCATTTGCACAAATATAAAGCACGTTTTTGTTTGTATTTATTTATTAGACATGTACTTCTATCATATAAAAATATTACTTTTTCTTAAGTTATTTTTATCATTCATAATTAATTGAGATTTAAATTTTATTTTAATCATGCAACGTTTACATTAGTAAAATGAATAAAATAATTTATATATTTGTGGCATATATTAAAAAAAATTAACATAAATAAAAAAATATAACGTTTTAGTAGATTAATGAGTAATTAATTTAAAAAAAAGTAACTATGTATATAAAGATTAATGTATATATAGATTATTGAATTGGGAAGGGATTTTACTTTTTTATCCACTTTGGTGTTGATATATTTGGTATTTTATTAAAGTTGCTATTAATGTTTTCTTTTGTGTTTCTTTAATGAATGAACTTCCCACTAACAATAAGTAGTTCCCTTCCCTCATTTTGAAAGTAATTTATTTAAGAAATAAAGCCATGTTTTGCAAATAATAGATTCTAAAGTTATTTATTGACTTTAATTAGTATCCAAACTAGCAATTTTGCTAAGGAACCATATGGTTGATTTCCTTATGGAACCAACCACCAATGGGACAGCTCCACATGGGAAAGTTATGTGAGACAGCCCCATGTGGAACTGTCCGATTGCTGATTGGTTCCAAAAAGAAACCAACCATCTGGTTTTATAGAAAAACTGTCCAAACTAGTCCTTAATTATTTGTTCATGACAAAAATTTCACCTATTAGAGGCAAACACGTGTCTCCAATATATTTTGCCCCCTACAGTTGGAGAATGCTATTATTTGCAGTTTTGCACGTTATCTTTGAAAAGCCAATTTGGCAGCTGCTTTGTTTGGCAACATTTTCTAAAGTACATGGGCACTTTGCTGTTTTGAGCTGGAAATTAAATGGAGTTTTTATATACTGAAAAAAAAAATCAAACTAATTAATGCTTATTTTACAAGTCATGTAAAAATATTTTGAAAGTATGATGGCTTATGGATATATATATTTGATACTTCTCTCAAAGTTCTCGAAATTGAGAATTCTCATATGAATAAAGTCATTGGTGGTGTCGATAAAGTGATGGTGAGTCGAAATGTGAGTTGATGGATAATGAATTAAAGTTGATTTGATGTGTAAGAATGATTTATTAATATTATTTAATTATTATTGAATTATATTGATAATATTGAAGATAGTAAAATTGAGTTAAAGTTCGGTTAATTTTGAATATGAACTTATTATATATTGAAAAAATATATAAAACAAACAACCATAAGAGTGTTGCGTGGAGATAAAGTTTGCACACACAACACACTATGTACTATGTGTTCCTCAACTAGTTTTAATTTTTTAAGAAAATTGCACTGGGATGCAATTAGACATGGCCACAGCCCTAACCAGCCCCTAGTCAACGTGCCTTGAATCGGGCCCGTGATTTGACTGGACCCAGTCCGTACCACATACATGTACTTTCTTAACCGTCGTGCCGGTTCTGAACTGGAATAAAAAATGACGGTTCGACCTTTTTTTTAAATAATAATTTCTTAATAATTTTTTTTAATGAATTTGTCCAGCTCGAAACCAATGAATTCGGACGGCTCGGAAACACCGGTTCACCAAATTGGCTTGCACATATGCTCGGGTCGGTTCAGGGTCCTACAACTTAGCCCAAAATTGATTTTGGCCATGTCTAGATGCAATAGTGTGTGTACATAAGGTAATAATTATTATTATACTTCCAAAAACAATTTAGGACAAAAAATAGATTCTTGATGGAATCCTTTTGCATTATGCTATCATCACCAACAAGATGACATAAAAATAGTAAAATATGTTTATTGTTCATTTCATATTTTCCTTTATACTATAAGAGCCCATGAATGTGAGTTGTGTTTAGGATTTGACAGCCTCTCCTTAACCCCACACATAATGAAGTAATCTTAAAATATGCTAGTATTCATCAATTTATCTTTTAACTTTTAACAGAAATTTCAACCGTCCGATCATCTTTAATACATACAATACAGAATGCCAATTGAGTCATATTGACAAGATGGGCCTGGCCCAATCATGACATTATATCATTCAAAAAACCCAAAGCCCTAAAAAATTCTTCACTCCACCAGGCTCGTGGGCCTTTAGTTCATATATCTGCAAACACAATACCCATTTTTTCCATTTCAGCTGAACTAGTCTAACTTGAACTTCTTCACGAACCGAGTCGTGTTCGCAAACAACTCAATCCGAGCAACATTTCCACACCAAATATTTGAAATATATTTGATTGTAGAAAAGTACTCCAAATATTCTCAAACTTTAATCTCATAACCCAAATATTACAAATTTCCCATATTTAGACTTAGAACCGCGCCCCGGCATAATTATAATATACAAAACACGGGCAATGCACGATAGTTCGTCATTTACTTATAACACGACGAACAAACACAACGCGAATAGAATACAGCGATTAAACGGGACATGAAAGCCACATTATTCATATGGCCGAGTAACTGTATTCATCTTCTTGATGGGCCTGTGAGAAAGTGGTTAATATGACAAAGGTACCGTATAATATTGTGACAATGGCAGTGAAATTCACGAGGAAGGCTTCCGGCCCGTATTTTTCGAGGCCCGTGTTCTGGAGAAACGTGAGCTTCT